AAATTTGCAAAAAGGAACACTGGAATGATAAAGAGGGAGAAAAAAGATAATTCTGCAGAAGAGGCAGAAGGGAATAGGTGGGAGGGAGGAAGGGACGCCAGATGTCTCTGTGGTTTCAACATTTGAAATGCATCGCCCATCCAACAAAATTAAATTAGACACATGCAAATATGAGGAAACCATATCTGAAAACTGTCAGTGAATTGGATCCTCGTGTTTACCACTTTGGGCTTCCGAAATGCCCTCTCCTTGCTTAGCTGGGACAGGTGGAGGGGAGCAGGGTTCCTCTCTACCTTCACCTGCCTGGGTCTCTGTGAATAGGCATTAGAAGACATTTGGTAAGATACTGGGAGAAGTAGATCTCCCCATGTTCCTCCCATAATCAAAGAGGTCTCTAGAGCTGATTTAATTTCCTGGGCTGAGGGAGTGTGCCTTTGAACAAAGTAACTTCATAGAGGGAGGTTTAAAATCTCACTGAAAGTTCCTAGTTGATAACAGCAATTTATCAAGCACTTATTATGTGCCAGAAACGATTGCAAGTACTATTTATAGACAGTAAAGCAGCCTCATAATGCTGGAAGTGGGCCTCAAAACTTGCCAAGAAAGAAGGGTCATGCTATTTGGATGTGAATCAAAATGATTGGGGTGAGAGCCTACTGTTTAAGAGTGGAGCCGGTTCATCACCAATTGTGTTATATGTAATTTTCTTTACTGTCGGGCACATTATTGCAAAGCTTCACCGTTTTATCCATGTAATGTTCACAATGACACTGACGGCTGCCCACTCAGCACTCATTCCTGGATTCTTCCTTGGGAACAGGGAGTTGATTTTGTTTGGATTCTCCAGAGAGTTAATGGTATCGTCAGCTGACAGGCAAACCCTGATTTGTCTAAAATCACTGGGAAAGCACATCCCTTTCACAGGTGATTAGTTTAGCCCCAGGTGTGTGACGCACATCTGGATAACATAACGGCAGAGGAGAGGGTGCTGGGGCCTTCTGAGAAAGGTTTCCTTGCTGTTAAAAAGTGAAACTCAGAGAAAGGCAGGCTCTTCCTCACAGGGACACTTTTCCGTGTCTACAGGACCTCAAGAACAACTCAGGCATCTTGGGCATCTTGCCATTGGATGACGAGTAGCCTGAGGCTGAAACGCCCCCTGAAGCCTGCCTCCCTGTGGAATTCTTATTACAAAGTGTAAGAAATCTATGTTGCAGAAGCCACTAGAGTGGGTCGCCTGTTACAGCCCAAAGCATCCAATCTGACACAGACTCTGTGAATTAGAACTGACTGTAACCCTCAATGCATAGACGAGGCACCTGAAGCACAGGGAAACTGACGAACTTTAAGACAGAACTTACCTTAAAGCCATGGTGAACCAGACCACGGCCAGAATCAGCGTGTTCATCCTGTAAGGCCCCATCACACAGTACAGGGCATTTTCCCAGACCTATAACCCAGAGCAGAGACGGGCTATCAAAGGCAGAAACTTGTAACTTGGAAGAGCTCATTTTTAAGATTTTCTTTTTTTTTAATTGAAGTATAGTCGTTTCACAATGTTGTGTTGATGTCTGATGCAGTGATTCAGTTACACATATATATATTCCTTTTCATACTCTTTTTCATTACTGGCTATTATAAGGAATTGAATAATAGTTCCCTGTGCTATACGGTAAGTCCTTGTTTATCTATTTTATATATAGTGCAGATACTAACTACTATATCATTTTTAAGGTTTTCTAATAAGTTGCCTAGGAACCATGGAGACAAGGAGCAATGATTATCTCCCAGAGGCAGCAATTCTGCTCAGATAACAAGGAAAGCTTCTTCTCTTCTCACCGGCTGGTCTCAACCTCCCATAGCATCTGGGAACACAGCAGTGCTCCATGCATGTGACAAAAGCACACCGAGTGGGGATTTCTAGGCACTGAATAACTTTGAGTGCAGAGCTCTGCTCCCCGCCTGTAGGAATGGGTCACATTCCAAACATTTAACCACCAGACACGAAGGAGGTCATCCAGTCTCAGCAGACTCTGGCCGCTGGCTGCCTCGGTGCTCAGCAGCTGATTTGCCTCATAGGAGCCACTTCCCTGGAGAAGCAGCCTTGCCCTTCGTGAAGATGTTCTCAGAAATCACCAACAGCCCTATGGAGTCACTTCATTCACCCGCTCCTTTCTTCCTATGGATTATTTAAAGAGAATTTGCTAGAGAGAAGGATATTGACTCAGACTAGACATTGCACCTCCATTCAACATCCCTGCCTTGAGAAAGAAAAGCAAAGAAAAGAAACTAGGGTTTACAGAGTCTGTGGCTCAAGGGCTCACAGCGAGTGAGAGGCAGGTGTGGGCTGGGACCCGAACAACCCCACCCAAGGTTGCTTGCTGCCCATCACACTGCCTTGGGTTGGTGGGCATGTCCGAGAGCTCTATTCTTCATCCACTGATGTAACAGATTTCCATAGAGCCTCCCTCTCACCCACCACACGTCACCAATCATACCTGCTTAAAAGTGGTCTTGAATCTGACTAGCCAGCGCTGGTACCAAGTTCCTGTTGAACTTTGGATCTCAATGAATTCGTCCATTTGCTTGGGCGTTTTAATGTTGCAAACCTATAAAGCAAAGACAGTCGAGAGAATCTTAATCCCGCTTACTTTGTGTCCGACGTTTCAGTGTTTCGTTTAAGGCAACTACTGAATTCATTGACTTCTTGAGGGCTAGAGGGGCCTTTGGTGACCCTCTAGTTCAGTGATTTTTAACCAAAAATGCACATAGCATCTCTTGGGGGGGGGTGTCTTTCTCAGGTGGATATGTCCCATTGCAGACAAAATGAATCAGGGGCTTTTCACTCCGTTATGGCTCTGGGAAACTAGTGGGTCATAATACACTGAATTCCTGTTTTTATCTGATTTGCCTACAGTAGCGTTGACTCCACCTTAAAATTCACAGGTCTATCCGCATTAATATCACAGAAACCTAGAACCCATGTAGGTAACAGTGCGTGTGTATGTGTGTGTGTGTGTGTGTGTGTGTGTGTGTGTGGTAGGAGAGGTAGGTTGCTCTGTAAGACATTTTGAAAATACAGCAGAATAAAAGACATTGTGTCCTCCATTTGAACAGCAAAGGGAATCAACAAAATGAAAAGGCAACCTACTCAGTGGGAGAAAATACTTGCAAATCATGTATCTGATAAGGGATTAATATCCAAGATACATAAAGAACTCATACGACTCAATAGCTAAAAAAAAGCAAACGATCCAACTGATATAAAATGGGCAGAGGCGCTGAACAGATAGTTTTCCAAAGAGGACACACAGATGCCAACGTGTGTGAAAAAATGCTCAGCATCACTAATTATCAGGGAAATGCAAATCAAAACCACAGTAAGATATCACTTCACACCTGCTAGAAAGGCTATTATCAGAAAGACAAAAAGTAACAAGTGTTGACAAGGATATGGGAAAAGGGGACCCTTGTGCACTGCTGGTGAGGATGTAATTGGTGCAGTCACTATGGGAAATAGCATGGAGTTTCCTCAAAAAATTAAAAATAGAGCTACCCTACAATCCAGCAATCCCACTTCTGGGTATTTATCCAAAGGAAATGAAAACACTAAATCAAAAAGATATCTGCCCTTTCAGGTTCACTGCAGCATTATTTATAAAAATAAAGATATAGAAACTCTTGATAGATGAA